GTTCGTACAATAAAGAATTGAATTGAATTATTATATTAAAATATGTTTAATTTATCTTAAATATGTAATTTTTTATGGAAAATAATTTAAACGCATTTTGTAAGTTATTCAAAAATAATTTTAAACTGTAGATGCACTTTGTTCCAGAAATAATTTTAATTTGAACTTGTAAATTGTTTGTGAAAATGTGTTCAATTTTAATGTAGCCATTTTGTTCTGCATTATATGCTTGAAGATGTCTGTTATAAACAGATGAAAATGTTAGTAAATATTTCTTAATTTCAAGTGTGCTGGAATTTGTATGTTGTCTATGTTTATTCTATCGCAATATTGGAGAGTTATTGACCACTGTGTTATATTGTAAATATATAAGCATATTATATTGCAATGTGGGGACCAGGGGCTATCAAAAGTTAGTTTATGTTAGGTTAGGGTAGGGTCCTGCCACCAGGTGTGTTTTGTCGGACACACCGCCGATTTTGACATAATCAGATAGTTAAGGCGCGAGGGTAAGAGTCACTCTGAAGTCCAGGAATGAGCCTCTCAGGAGGATGAATGCAAAGTCAAATACAAATAACATGACTTTATTATCAAAAATTAAGTTCATAACATTCTTAAAATCTGATTCAAGAAATCTGCCTATATCTATCTATTAAACGAGGGGGCTGCCTAACGGGGGTATCTGAACTACAGCATACCAGGAAAAAGAGAGCCGTCTTCTCTTGTAAGTCCAGTCAGTCCCCTGATCTAGTTCTTTCTTCCCTTTTGCTTGGTCCTTCACTGATGTCTGCCGGTAAATGGTGTTCACTTCTGGTCGACGTTTCCTTGCAATTATGGCGGGATGGGTCCACTTGTGTCTACTGTTGATGTCCGCCATTGATGCCTTCCTTGTATGGGATGGTTCTTTAAGAGTCTGGAGAGGCTGGTGCTTTCTACCATTGTCTGCCGAGGAGCTCTGTCTGTGTCTGGATTTGTGCCTCTTTTATACGCTTTTCAACACAAATTGAAAAGCGTATAAAAGATATAGCGTATAAAAGATAAGCGTATAAACATATATAGGAGAGTTATGATATGGCTTACTATCCTATTGGTTTGACTTTTGAGCTGAGACATTACATAAGCAAAACTGTTTTAACTAGTTTCTTGACTTTATATAGTGATAGCACCGAACTCCATGGATGTCATCATTGACAAATCTTATCATTATTCATCGCTTGTTTTGGTTACTGTTGTGCCTTGAAACGATGTTCGATCTTCGCTATGATCGGTGGGGGGCATGAAGTGGTGTTTTTCCCACTTTCTTTAAGTTTTATTCTCTTACAAATTTATTTAATTATTTAATTGTCCTTTCATCCTTTTCCTCGCATGTTGTGAGATTTATTGCCGTTAATTAATAAACTTCTTATTTTAAATTGTTTCTTTAAATCATTCTAAAAGTTGATATTATTGGAAATTTCTGTAGGGAAGTCCCTAGAATCGGAAAAATAGGCAAATTTCCTCTTACACTTTGATCCATGTATAAACAATCTCGGTATCTTCAAGATGTGGGTTCAAAAGAAAAAGGATATAAAATAATTACAATGTTTTTAAATACAATAAAATCTCTAACTAATTAATTAAAATGACAACAAAGTGGCTAAACTAAGATTATACAGATAACGTAAATACGTAAATAACAAATTTACAAATACATACACACACACATATATATATAGTAACAACAAATTTTGGTGGGGGGGAAATGGTGGTCTTCACAGCAAAATATCTTATTATATCAAAAAGTTTTAGACTATAAATATATTTTGTTTTCCTAGTTAAATGTATTGATTAGGTGAAAAAAATATATATATTTTTAACTCTGTCCTATCCTTTTAAAAGCCTTTTTACCAGCCCATAATGGAATAGCTGGATGGTGAGGGATGGGTTTGGCATAACTGGATGGACTGTTTCAAAAAATTTCCTAGGGTTTGTTTTTTCAGCCAGTCTAGATTCAATCTCAAGCCTCAGAGTGGTAGGCTGCCACTTTAGCCACTTGGTCATCTGGCTCTCAATTTGAAAAAGTTGCAGCCTAAAACTCAAATATAGACATAAATTCCTACTGTCATCTGTTTGTCTGTCTGTTTTTCTTTAATCTCAAGAACAGAGTTGAATAGATGAAAGACGAGACCAGACATGGAAAGCTTAGTGGCAAGAGGCCATGATTAACTATATAGGAATTTCTGATACAAACCAGAAGTCACATTATTTCAATTCAAAGATTTTCACCTGAAAAGTGTTAGATAGATGACAGNCCTTGTCGGCTCTAATGAGAGTGACTCCATTTCTCTTCATCCATCGACGGGCCTTTGACATTTTAGCCCCTATCTGCTTATACTCGAAAGCTTTTTTAGCTTTTACTATTTTGTTCACAGCCATAAATAAGAAATCACTATTTTTATAGTGATTTCTTATTTAAAACTGTCAGATATGATTGATTTAAATTATTGGATAAATCAAACTCATTATTCCTCTTGAAATTGGTTATAAACTAGTTTTAAAAAGTACAGTTAATTCAAAATTTTAAATATGAATTTTGATAATTTGAAACTAGTTTAGTTCATATTTTAAAAATCAAATATAAACAAATAAAACAGCATGTTTTCTAGTATATAGAATGTGAATAACGTACCCAGAACCTATAAACAATGGGTACAAAAACAAAACAATAAAATAACACAAACGTTTTCAAACTCCATCAGAGTTGTTCTTCAGGAATTATAATGGTTACCCAATGGAACATTGTAAAAGCTTTTGGAATATAAAATTCAAATGAGTTTTCAAATTACGAGCACAAAATTTAAAAACCCAAGTCATGCCTGCATATTCAGTTGCCCAACAGGGACTCAACAAACAATTAAACAGTGTTGTCAATCAACTCTTGCCAGGCCATCAACAAAACCTTTGCCGCCTCATAATTTATGCACGTGGATGTAATATTAGATTTAAATATCTGCACTGCCTCCAACTATCTGAGGTGTTCTGTGGGGGGTGAAGCAAGGATGAATTTGGCCTAATTTTAATTAATAATAATTTCTCATTAAAGAAAGTTTAAAAGATCTGCTTTTAGGAACAAATCATTTTGTTTTATTTTTCAAGTGCTTTTTACACTCTATCAGAATATGCTATTACATTTGAAATTTCCAAATGTTCAAGATGTGATAATGAACTTAAACACATTTTTAAGTCTTTCTGGTGGATGGTTATTTTTGTATATTTGTGAAATTTTCAGACATGAAGTATGCATTGAAAATCCTGAGATAGGAAGCCAGATGGCTGAGGTAAGATGTTATTCTACTAACACAGAGCATGTAGATCAAGTCTGGAAAGTTTAAAAACTCCAGAAATTTTTCATGGCTAGTCTTTCTCAGATATGTTGGGCTCCATCTTCCTTGTGGGCCTGGTTAAACTCATGATTTATATGATAAAAGGCCCTCTAGTGTCCACAAGGTAGAAAGAGTTTAAAAAATAATTTTAAAAACATCCTGAAATGAATATTAAATGTTGAGCAATTACAATAGAATAAATTGATTTGTTCTACCATATATTGTTGAATATTTTTACATTTATTTTGAGATTTATTCCTAACAGCAGAACTTTTATTTTAATTAAAGTAAAACTAGCATAAAAGAATAATTCTATATATTAGTAATTAATTCAAATTTTATTTCTGAAAAGTTAGAAAATGAGNTTGTCTTGGAGAGCGCAAGCAATTCATGTGTAAATCTCACTTGTGCCTGTTTGTAGAAACAGTCTCAGCATTTTGTATTTTCTTTTGACCCAGTTCTCAGTCCCCTGACTACTTACAAGTCTGATTTATTTTATGTGTGCATGATTTGGGCACCAAATACTCTGTGACAAATTGCAACTCCTGACATATACTCCTTCATACCTCTAAGGTGTGCAGTCATTGACAGCAGTGTGATTTTAGAGACAAGACATAGTCTTGTCAACATTAGTTAAAATTTGTTATTTTTCTCTTTTAAACATTTAAATTATAGATATTAATATTTTTTAAATACTACAAAAGAAGTTTAGATTGGCATTGTAAAGCAGGAATTAATTTTAATTAATAATAATTTCTCATTAAAGAAAGTTTAAAAGATCTGCTTTTAGGAACAAATCATTTTGTTTTATTTTTCAAGTGCTTTTTACACTCTATCAGAATATGCTATTACATTTGAAATTTCCAAATGTTCAAGATGTGATAATGAACTTAAACACATTTTTAAGTCTTTCTGGTGGATGGTTATTTTTGTATATTTGTGAAATTTTCAGACATGAAGTATGCATTGAAAATCCTGAGATAGGAAGCCAGATGGCTGAGGTAAGATGTTATTCTACTAACACAGAGCATGTAGATCAAGTCTGGAAAGTTTAAAAACTCCAGAAATTTTTCATGGCTAGTCTTTCTCAGATATGTTGGGCTCCATCTTCCTTGTGGGCCTGGTTAAACTCATGATTTATATGATAAAAGGCCCTCTAGTGTCCACAAGGTAGAAAGAGTTTAAAAAATAATTTTAAAAACATCCTGAAATGAATATTAAATGTTGAGCAATTACAATAGAATAAATTGATTTGTTCTACCATATATTGTTGAATATTTTTACATTTATTTTGAGATTTATTCCTAACAGCAGAACTTTTATTTTAATTAAAGTAAAACTAGCATAAAAGAATAATTCTATATATTAGTAATTAATTCAAATTTTATTTCTGAAAAGTTAGAAAATGAGAATAAAATGGATGTAACTTTAAAATATATGAAAGATTGAGAAACTTTCTGATTTAATGATTATATTGAATGTAAAAAATTTATATTTAAATAATTATCAATTAGAAAAATTAAAAATAAATGAAAAAGTCTAACCAATTTTTATTTATTTTAAAAGATTTTTTTCTCATCAAATTTTTCATATTATTTTTTAACATTTTATTTTAATAAAATATTTTATTATATCTAGATCACATTTACCAAAGAAGAAGCTAAAGATGCAGTTTCTACATTTTATAATGAAAAATTTTCTGTATTACTTGAACATTATTTATGCCCACTAACTACTCAAGGCATTCAGGTATGTTTATTTATATGTCAAATATTTTCTAACAGATACTTAGACAGATTTGACCTGTCTACAGCAGTCTCACTAGGAAGACATACATGCACTTGAAGGTTCTTATATGAATTCTAGGTCAACTGAACTAGTTTGAGGCCTTTGAATATATATTATTCCTAAAAATATAATTTCTAAAAATAAAAGATTATCTTTAGATAAGATAAACGAGTAAAAATAAAACGCTCTTTCTTAAACCGATTTCGAGTGATTTATATCAGCAGACAAATAATTAACAAAGATACTATACTTCAGCCAACGTTATTTCTTTTATTATTTTCAAATTTCTTAAAGAATTTTCCAAAAGGTTCTCCAAATGCATTTTGCCGTTACAGCCTCATCGGTGGATTATCTAACAACAATCAACTCATCACTTTTTATACAAATAAATTTTTCCCAGCATGCATCAATGTTTAGACCGACATTCCGATTTAACAAATTTGCATGTTCAACAATACAAAAGTGCTCTACTACTCGTCTTTTAAACCAATTTTCTATTTTATATAATATTTTTACAGAATTTCTATTAATTTTACAATTATAATTTGCGAGACTAATCGGGGGTAGGATGTTTACAAGGATGTTCCTCTCCTACCACTTACTCGACTCAAGACCTTAAGGTCTGCTCTCGTTTGTCTAAGGATGGGAGAAAAAGGGTTAGGAGAAAGGATCTGACACCAGTCTATCAATTTATCGCGGATAGATGGGGGATTATCACGAGCGATCTCGTCCAGGACTTCGGGTTCAGTATGGAGGTGATAATGGTGGAAGAAATGTACTCCAATCGTTCGTTAACAAAATACCCGTTTATTCCGTACATTTATACATAGTTAATAATTGGAATACAAATCCCTCTCGGGATTTTCAATCCGTATAGTTCATAAAGTAACGGCAAAGTATAAAGTAGTCGCGACCCTACCCGCGAGTTTGGAATATTCGAGAGAGAGCTTACACATCATCGCGTGTAGGATAAATACTTCTAGTTATACAGGATGGTGGTTTCAGGACGATCTTGGAGTCCGAATCCCGGGCTCGTTAAAATAGTTCGTGAGTCGACATAAGTCCGCAAATCGTAGAATAGTTCTATCGAGGATGGTGGCGACGAGATGCAGGTAATCCACACACACACACACAGAGTACAGAACAATAACTTCCCCCTCGTGTCGTCATCCTACTTGTCTTTTATATGGGGCCTCTCTTTTCGAGATTTCCCTATGTACGTCACAGGTGATGATCTTCGTTGACCAATGGTGGGTGAAGTGACAAACTTATGACACAACAGTTAACTCATCTTCTACAGGGAAGTATTGTTGTGGGAACGGAGTTTTTATGAGCGATTTTTATGAGAAAATTTGTCGGTTGTTTTTCCCTTTTTGTGTTAACCCTAACTTTAAAAAAATCGGTTTGATTTTGAAACAAAACGTTAAATGAATGAACAAAAATGAATATAACTATTCGAATCTCGGCCCTCTTAAATCCTGACTCTCACAAATTGATACAATGTTGATACCAAGGTAACTCTTGTCTTTTTAGACGAATCGCTGCCTCGTGTTCTTTTAGGCGTATCTCGAGCCTCCGTCCCGTTTCTCCAACATATGATTTCGCTTGCAAACAATCACATGATACTTTGTAAACCACTCCTGCGACGTAAAGCTGATTTCTTACTTCATTTTGACTTTTAGTATTTATAATAATAATAATAATCGACATTTTGTTTTCCTGCTTTGCCACTACAGATATAGAAAACTTTTTAAATATGGGTTTATATCGTTCATAAAGATTATGTATATAAGGCATTTTAACATAAGTATTATTATTTATACAATTTTTTACATTATATCTGTAATTTATAAAAGAATTATACCANAATTTTTTTAAAATGATGTCAATCCCGAAAATCTCGGGATTAGGAAAATTTAATCCCGAAAATTTTGGGACTGAAAAGTTGTCGGGATCCCGGGATCCCGATTTTCGAGATCCCGGGATCAAATCCTCTACTCCTGACTAATTCATAATTACAGCCTAATTAAATACTTACAGATTATATTTTTAAAAATTTGTTTTATGTATTTTACAAATATTATATAATATTTTATGTATAAGTAAAAAATCATAAAATAAAAACTAAAAGATTAAGAAATGCTTTACAAAATTCTGTAATTTTTGATTTTTCAAATTTTAAATTAGCCAAAAATTTTGTAAAAATATAATATAAACACACGAAGTTATTTATAGTTTAAATGATCTATCAGTTTTATGTATTAATAAGTTAAAAACTTATATTTTCTATTGTTATATTTAAGGCAGTTTACTGATATGGTATATTTTGATATGGATATTGATATGGATATTTTGATATGGATATTTTGATATGGATATTGAAAAAGATACATTAACACCAAAATATACCATATCTTTTTCAAATATGTAAAATTGTTTGTGTAAAATTTTTTGATAACATTTTTAATTTAATATGAAAGTACTGTGTAAATACTGTATACTCAAACTTTTTCCATCTTAATTTATTGATCTAGTGATTTAACATATATCAGTAAATAAGCAATGGTAAATTATGGTTGAAATTTAAATGTGATTTATTAAAGGTACCAACAATTTATTAAAAACTGTCAAAGTTTTCATATAGTAATGTTAATCTTAAATTTACTATTTTAATTATTTATTAACCATAACATTTTATTCTATACAATAATACTAAAGGAAAACATTATTATTAACAATATATTATACAGAAAAATATTAACAGCTGAGCTTGACTGAAAAGACAAATAACAATTCATATCAGTTTTCAATACTTCTAAAATGGATTGATTATTTTTATTAATACATTCTGTTTGTCTTAAACTTTCTATGTGATAATCAGAATTTTTGAAATTAGTTGCTATATTGTTATAGTTTTTTTCTCTAATCCAATCTCTGATCCAAGCTAAATTACAGTCACAATTCCAAGGATTTCCAGATAACAGCAGAGAAAGCAATTTTACTTGATGTATCTGAAAAAATTCGATAATGTTCTAATATTGGAATGCCCAGAGTTCAAATTTTAACTGCCACTTAGTTCAACCGTTCAAATTATTTGATGCAAATTAATTTGGCTATTTATGTCTTACTCCTATTTATTATTATTATTATTTTTTTTTAAATACTTGGCCATTATGTACTGAGTCACAGTGCATGAGGTGATGACATCACAATCTGTTTATGACATGTCTATGCATGCATTTTATGACATGATGAAAGTGAGATTTCAAAGCAGGGTTTAATGTGCATGGCTCATCAATCTCTCCTTGTGCAGAGGTATTTGAGTAAGCATTCCATTACAGTCCTGCTGCATCCCCCATACTCACCAGACTTGCTCCATGTGATTTCTACTTCTTTCCTCATAAGAAAACACATATGAAAGGCTGAAAATTCATCAGATGAAGTGATTACTGCTGCAAAATGTACACTTCAAATGGTCATTAGCGGTTTCTGGATGTTTTCAAAAAACTGTAGAACCACTGGATGAAGTGTGTTGCTGTAGAGGTGAATACTTAATGGTTAATTGTTGTCTAAATGTATATAATTAATAAAAACAGAAATAAAAACTTTTTGATTCCAATGAAACCGTGTTGTAATGTACTTTGCTTTATACAGACACAATAAAGAGATGAATAATCTGCCAAGTGTTTGAAAGAAGTCACTTTATTATGTCTGTATAAAGCAAAGCAATAAAAATCTTTTCCACAAACTGTTTGAACATACCACATATATGAATTTGTTCATTATATAGTTGTTTTTGTTTTCACTTAATTTTTATGTAATCATTGCTGTAATAGTTGTTGATGTAGCACAGTTATACAGCTTTACTCTTAAACAACTCTTTCATTTGTGTGAAGATCTATTTTAACTTTTCATTTAGTTCAGTGAAAATATTTTTATTACAACAGTTTATATATTAGCAAAACTCTTCAATTATAAATAGAGTAAATTTGTAAATAATGGCATTTATTTTTATAGTCTTACTTCTAGAATAACCAAAACGGTGCTTACTTCACTTTAATTTGTTTCACTAACGTTTTCGAACCTTTTGGTTCTTCTTCAGGTGAAAAATGGGCAAATCCGTTAAGATTCGATTGAAACTATCTTTTTTTAAAAGAATTCCGAACATGGAACTTCTCCGAAACTCGTGCAATCGTCGTCTTCTTTTGCGCATGCGCCGTTATGAGCCTACGTTTCCTCCCGTTATGTGTCATATATCAGGGTTTGCCACGCTACTGATAATGATATTTCATCTTTGCTGTTTATACAATTGTTACCCTGAGTTGCTTTGTGTATAAAAATCGCTTCCATCAAGCGCAAATATTGCGTTTGGTGCGTGGTGTATATTATCTTTGCTTGCTCAAATAACGGTTGTATCTCAGGGTCCGTGGCGTACTGTGCTAAGACGGTTGTCAGCCTCTTGTGGAGGATATCAGCTTTATGTTCCTTAATCCTCACTCCTAAAGATCTCTTCGTGGAGCCGATATATAACAATTCTTCATCGCATCTGCGATCCCTAATTGGGATACTGTATACTCCAGCCATCATGTCTTGTTGCGGAGTATCTTTCGCATTACTAAGCAGTCAAAATAATGTAGGACCTCTTCTAAATACGATGGAAACTTGTCTTTTCTTAGCTATCTCTTTATATAGTTTCTCCAAATACGGATTATACGTTATCGCTACTCTTTCCTTCTGTTCTTTCTCTAGCGTTTCCGGACGATCTGTTCTTTGCAGATGAATCATTTTTTTGGCTAAGGTAGTTACCAGTTCACTATACCCATGCCGTTCAGCAATACTTTTAAGTATGTTTATTTCTGTTTTAAATGCATGCGATGTCGAAGAGTGCGTATAAGCCCTTTTAACCAAGGTGTTAAATGCCGCTACTTTGTATTGCTTCGGGTCACATGATCCGGAATGTA